TGAATAAGCCGATGAGTGATAAACTAATACTCTATCGTGGACAGGCCTTGACGAAAAGTGATTTCGAGAAGCTGAAATCGAACATTGGTGGCCTCCTTTCAATAAACACTTTTCTCTCGACGAGCGAAGAAAGAGACATTGCACTTCTATTTACTGGCGGAACAATTGACAACCAGGATACAGAAGAAATCCTTTTTGAAATCGATCTGAATCCAAATGAAGTATCACGTACAACTTACGCAAGTATTGATCAGTTTAGTGTATTTCAAGGAACTGAGAAAGAATATCTATTTTCAATGGGTACGGTCTTTCGGATAAAGTCGATAGACAAAGCTAGCAGTGGTAACATCTGGAATGTTCGACTCGACCTAACAACTAACACGGATGCAGAATTGGAAAATATGACTCTGTATATGAGGCAACAACTACAACAGTGTAACACGATATTAGCAAAATTAACGAATCTCATGCAACAAATGAATTTTCCGGAAAGAGCATTAAATTTCTATATAAAAAATTTCGATATAGACAAGAATCCGACTATAAGAGATACCAAATTGGAATACCTTATCGGAGATCTCTGTTTTGATGCGAGTAATTATGAAGATGCACTCAACAGGTACCAAAACGTGCTCCAAGATACGAACGAACAGAGGAAAGAAAAACCTATGTTGGTCTGCCAGCTATACGATAAAATCGGACATACTTACTTGCAGCTAGGAAACGTCGATCTTGCTCATGAATTTCATCAACGTGCATTAGACTTAGCGCTCTCTCTTCCTGAACCAGATCAAGGCTCAATAGCCGCTAATTACATCTACCAAGGTGATATTGCGATTGAACAGAACAAGATGGACGTAGCACTTTTGTTTTATGAGAAGGCGCTAGCTCTTCTAATAGCCCATCTTCCTTCGATGCATCCTAGCATTGCTCATACATATAGTCGAATTGGTCATCTCTATAAAAAACAAGGGAAAATAGAGCAGGCATTGGAGATGTTTGAGAAAAGTCTTTCTCTTCTCGTCGCTTCTATAACCGTCAACCACCCATGTATCTCTGCGACTCACCGTCACATTTCAGTGTTGTTGTGGATTCTCACTCGTGAACAAGAAGCACTACATCATGGGCTTCAAGCTTTGCAGATCAGTGCAAATATGTTACACTCGGATCATCCTGAGATGAAAAGGCATCACGATTGGGTGGATTTCCTACGGCGCGAAATACATGATCATAATCGTCACCTTCAAGAAAGCTCTGAGGAAAGAGACCAGACAATCGAGTTTGACACATAAAAACTCGAAAGAACAGGGACGATTAATTTTATACAAGAGTAATACTTCAAAATCACTTCGAAAATTCTTTCCATTTATGTATTCACGTTTCAGTTCAGAAACAGATTGATCTGTACCTTTATCATAGAAATCAGTCTGCTGATCTGAACTTCTGTCTTTTCATAATTGCTCGAATTGCAATAATTTTTTTTTGAGTATGCTTTATTTATTGTTACGTCCTAGGACGCTTACAATGAAAGAAAGAAACATGAAAAATGAAAAAGAAAAAGTGACAAAAGGACAAGAAAAAAGAAACAAGAAAGAAAAGAAAGAGTACGAAAAAGAAGCAAGAAGCAAGGAATCAGAAATCTGATGAGTAGAATGTAAGTGCAAGGATTGGCTTGTCAGAAGAGCCTTGGAAAACTCGTACTATCTACTTTCTTTGTGTATGATTACTCTCTATAAAATTTATCTACTGGATTAAATATGATTCATGATTGGCAATCAGCTTTTTTACTCTTTTTAGTTGAAAGAAGTGACCAATATTTAACTTTCTTGTCTTTATTTCTTGTCGGGAACAATTCTTTACTAATGTATCCCAATATAAAATATCATTAATGAACAAAGATTCTCCTGAATCTGTTTTAAATGCTTTTTGGAGTCTTTTTTGCAAGTAAGCTGTGATATACAACTTCAGTGGACGCTCTTTCACGAAAATAAACAGATGAATAGCTGAGGCCCATAGGAGGCATTGCACGTAAGCCACGACCATTTCCTGACAACATTGCGCAATCGATCTCACCAATTTGGCTGATATTTTCACAGTAAGTAGGCCTAACATATTTAGGAAGAAACCCAAAATTTCAGCTCAAATACATAAGCCAGTTTGGAGATATAGTGAACACAACTATTGGGGGGGGGGGGAGGAGTAGGTCATTTTTGGTGTATTTTGTAGTGCAATACTTTTCAGTAGATTTGCATTTTCTCAACAACGATAAGAGCTATAACAGAGATTTTATTACCATAGATACTATCGATTATGGGCTATCTTTTGATGGGATTGAAAACATCTTTTCATTGGATTTTTTTCGATCGGCATTCTATACCATTTTCAGAAACTGTTTCTACGTATGTATAAAAGCGTTTTCGAAAGTTTGTAGAAATGAACTTTGGTAGCAAAAGTTTTCCGAACAAGACTATGAAGATCAAATTTGGGCCCGACTCTCCCTATGAAGATTGATGATTTATTTTCAAATATTCGATTTAAGTGTTTCAAATGAAAGCTCATGTCAAGAAATCTCTAAATCCAAAATTTCAGTTCATTTGAGCATGTCTGTGAAAAATGGTGAAGGAGTTACTTTTTATTAAAATTTTATAGGGTAATATATATAGTCCGTCTAATCTTTCTTATAGTCGTATTTCAGCTAAAATGGAACCAAACGATCTGAAATTTTCACCATAAACTATTCTTATCGAGTTCTTAATATGCACAAAGTTTCAGGCCAAAATTCGAATTTTCATTTTTTTTCATGATCCTGAGGGGGACCACGGCAATTTCCTACAGGTAATTCGAAAAAAATGAAAATTCGAATTTTGGCCGGAAACTTGGTGTATGTTAAGGACTCGATAAGAATAGTTTATGGTGAAAATTTCAGATCTTTTGGTTGCACTTTAGCTGAAATACGACAATAAGAAAGATTAGACAGGCTATAGATATTACCCTATAAAATTTTAAAAAGTAACTCCTTCACCATTTTTCACAGATATGCTCAAATGAACTGAAATTTTGGATTTAGAGGTTTCTTGACATGGGATTTCATTTGAAACACTTAAATCGAATATTTGAAAATAAATCATCAATCTTCATAGGGAGAGTCGGGCCCAAATTTGATCTTCATAGTCTTGTTCGGAAAACTTTTGCTACCAAAGTTCATTTCTACAAACTTTTGAAAACGCTATTCGACGCAGTTTGATGTGCTCTTTCAAGTGAGACTATTTTCAAACTATTCTACCGCGCTGATATGACTAAGTCCTTATACATACATAGAAACAGTTTCTGAAAATGGTATAAAATGCCGATCGAAAAAAATCCAATGAAAAG